AGAACAATTTGAACCTCCAAAAAATGACGGTAATGATTGTAATGATTATGACCCATAGAATAATACAGGAATCCTTGAGGTCATACTGATGAATCAGAAAGGAAAGCTTTTCCTTACAGTAGAGTGCAAAGTTAGTGTAGACGGATTGATAGGAAAACCACCATCTAGCAGCATCTAAAGCAATAGTTGGTTCAGACAAGAATCATGAATGTCTGCTAAAACTAGTAGGCAAATATTTGATGACAAACAGGATATTTACATAGTCTCAAAGTATCTCTTCATAAGATATTAATTACAAAGGAAAAAATAATAACTTTACAATGGAGAAGCCTGGCAGACACCACCTCCTCCCAGTGAGGATGGCTTACGTCCCCATAATGGGACAGATTGACAACATCTCCCTTCTGCTGTGATATACTGAGAAGGACACAGTGTCACTTCTGGGGCATTCCTGCCAAAAATGCACAACCTTAAATTAACCATGAGAGAACATCTTACAGACCCAGTCAAGGGATATTCTACAAGTTAAATGGCTTGTATTCTTAAAAAACGGTAAGGTCACGAAAGATAAAAGGATTGAAGAACACTTCCAGATTAAAAGAGACTAAAGAGACATGACTACCAAGTACAACATTTGATTCTGGACAGAAGAAAAATAATTTTTTTTCCTACAAAGGATATTAGTGGAACAAATGGTAAGACGTGAATATCTTATGTAGATTAGATCATTGTATTGGTGTTGATTTCCTCATTTTGATAAAGGCACTGTGGTTGTGTAAGGGAAGATCTTGTTTTTAGGAAATACATGATAGGGTGCTGAAGGCTAAAGGGACCTATATATATATATATATATATAAGGAGAGGGAGAAAGAGGGAATGATAATGCAGATGTGGTAAAATGTTAACATTTGGGGAATTCAGTTAAGAGATAGACATGGTTCCTTTGTACTGTTTTTTGCAATTTTTCTGTAGGTCTGAAATTTTCTCAAAATAGTTTAAAAAAAAACATGCAATCAGAGCTGCTGGATTAGTCATCAGTGAATCCATGAATTTTTTAATTAACTTACATAGTATTTGTGCAGTGCTTTCTGGTATTTAGGGGGTCGTCATTCCTTTTCCATATTATATGAACCTGTGTTCACAATAGTTTTAGAAGTGTGGCATAAAAAAGAACACTACTTTAGCCACTAGGAGGTGGGTTGTTCTTTTATGCCTGCAACTAACCTTTCAGTGAGACCGTGAGAAAATCACTGTCTGGGCCCTAGGCTGAAAATTGCTGTGGGGCGCTGGGCAAGCTGTCATCCGTAACTGGATTTCAGCAGTTCTGTGATGGGCTCTGATTCACCAACATGGTTGGAACTCGGAAATGTTATCTTACTGCTGGGAGCCGTGCTACTCAAGCTGTGTAGCGAAGCTCAGGCTGGAGGAAGACCCCTGCAAAGCAGGGGCCTTTGCAGCTGGCTCCCTCTATTACGCACCTTGATTTTGTTATTTTCCATTATACTATTAGCTTTGTTTTTGCTAGCATTGTTGCCAAAGACTAGGCTAAGCTTTGCTAAGCAGCCAGAAAAGATGAGAACATAAACTTCCCAAAAGCTTTTCAGGACAGTGCTCCTGAAGAATAGAACACGCAGGGGCCAAATGGCGATCTTGGCATAAAGTACTGAAACCTGCTTTTAGTTAGTCAAACATTGACTACCCCATTTCCACTGAGAATGCCCCCCTTGTTTATGCTAGTGAAACTAGTGCTGGAAAGTTTTCGAGAAATCAAGTTATGAAAGAATATTGAATAGAATAACCCTGTTGACACTTAATTAATCATCTCATGTTTTCTTCCCTCTACTACTTCTATAGTTTGTTTTTCTTCTTTCCTAATCACAGCCCTTTACCAGAATTTATGCCTCATACGTGAAATACCTACTCCCATAATTTTCCAGGAAGAAAAGATACCTCAAAACAAGTGCTGGGCATAGAAGCCATGGAGCATAAATCTGCAAAGAAGTGAAAAACTAACCTTTTCAAAGAATATTACTTTTCTCTCATTTACCAGCTTTATATCTCCCTGTATGGCCCCATAAGATGGCTGGTTAGCCAGAGACGGGTAAGATTCCTCAAGGGAGGAACAACCTAAGACAGGCACAGTCGCAGGGGGGCCATCAGGTGAGAAAAAGGGGGCCAACAGAGGTGAGGCTTAGAACTTTGCCCCCCCAGTTTTGAGAGAAATCTTCTACACCTGTGGATGTTTTGTTGCCCTTGTTCAGCTTGGATTAAGACCTGGTCTGTAGGCACAAACTTGATCATCTACACCTGCCTTCTTACAGTTCTAAATCATGCTTTCTGTCTATATCTTGCATTTATGTACTACATTAACATTTTATTAGATTCACATATAAAGTATAAAAATCAAATGAATAATCATACATTATATTTGACATGATTGTTTATAGTTTAAGGTTTGTAGTTAAAACAGAAACACTTTCTATGATATGAATGCCCTTGCATTGTTCACCATGTAAGAACTTGTTTAGTCCCTGCAGTAGTGGAATCATGGAGACCTGTGTAGCATATGTCAGGGAGATTTTGGTATCCACAGAGAAGAAAGAGAAATGTAGATAAGAAGGAGAAATTTAGTTTGCTGCCTACTGTGCCCTATAAAGAAGTATAAAGTGAAAATGTGAGTTTATGATTTTAGATTACTTATAAATTTATTAAAGCTTCTAAGAATATTTTTCTGGGAAAGAATCCTAGCTAACTGTGGCACTAGGTGACCTGTATTTCACCCTGAGCTGATAGACTCCATAGTCAGTGCTACTACATACTGCACGCTCCTACAGTCACATGCACTACTTAGAAACTGCGTTGCATAGAACCGTAAAACACAATAGAGTACATGTTAATGAGAAAAGTTTTGGTCAAAGAACAGAAAAGCAATCCCTGTCTAACGCTTGACCAACCATGAATAGATTAGAAAGTAAAAGAAAGAAAAAAGCTTGCCTATACTTATTAACCAACTGTGTATTCTAATTAATCATCAAAATAATAAAAAATAACCATATCCTTGTGCAAAATGGTGTAAATAAAGCTGTCATCGGCACTTTGTCGAGAGACCACCTCCATCTGACTCTGTGTCCTGTCTCTCCATACGCTGACTCCATCCTGCACCTTCGGGCATCCCACCCCTGGGCTGGAGCTGGACTCCAGCATCTTACTCTCCACTTCTTAGAAAAGATCCAAGGCTTCTCACACAAGTAAATTGAAAAGATCCGTAGAAATCAGAGCTGGAAGACACCTGGGACACCATCCGATGTGTCCTTCCACCAACAGTACTCACTGGTTGGTGGCACACCTCTAAGCTGTTTGGACCAGTGTTTGCCTTCCCAGCTACCATTGTTTCCACCAACTTGACTTGTGTTTTTAGTCACCCTTTCTTTTAGTCATTTAAAAAAGGCATGTGACTTTTCTTAGCTGTTAAAAATTTCCAGTTCTTTCAAAACAGCAGCAGAAGCACCGAACCCAAGAATGGACTAATAGTTACCAAAGGGAAAGGGACTGGGGAGAATGGGAGGGAAGGGAGGGATAAGGGTGGGAAAAAAAGAAAGGGGGCATTACGATTAGCATGTATAGTCGGGGGGTGGCATGGGGAGGGCTGTGCAACACAGAGAAGACAAGTAGTGATTTTACAGCATCTTACTATGTTAATGGACAGCGACTGTGAACAGGGATGTGGGGGGGACTTGGTGAAGCGGGGAGCCTAGTAAACATAATGTCCTTCATGTAATTGTAGATTAATGATACCAAAAAAAAAAAATTTCCAGTTTTTTATATTTGGACTTTACTTTCAGAAGCTAATTTGCTATTCCAGCAGAGATTAATAGACAGGTGGCCTGTTTTCCTCTAGAATTGCAAAAGGATTTCATTGATAAGCTGTTGAATGTCTAACAGTAGTAATTATATGATCAGATAGTTATGGGATTGGAAGTCAAATTTTAGAATGAAAATTAAAATTTGTAAGTTTGTGCATAGAAAAATTGCTAGGTCAGAAAATGTATTAGGAAAGTTTCTTGGCTCTTATGAGCCTTTAAATATGATACCCTAAAAAAGAAAGAATATAAGGATGTACCAAAATAGACATTCTGATCTTCTGTTGGTGAGGATATAAATTAGTTTGTTCTTTTTTGGAGGTAATGTAACTGTATTAAAAATGAAAAGATCATGTGTAGTGACTTGAGTTCCACATCTGGAAATTTGTCCTGTGGAAATGCAGCATTGTTTATAAAAGTGCAAACTGGAACAATGTTCATTCTTAGAGTACATTAGTAAATAATGACAATCGTGTAATGAATTCTTACACATCTATCAAAAAAATGCCAAGAGCTCTTAAAATGTTAATATAAAATGATTTATCATTGCTATTTGTAGAAATTGTGATAAAATACACAAAACATAATATTTAACATTTTAAATGAGTGTACAACTCAAGAGCATTAATTAGTTCATGATATTATAACCATCACCACTTTCTATAGCTAAATCTTTTTCATTAGCCCCCCAAAAACTCTGTATCCATTAAATAACTTTCCCTTCCCCTCTCACAGGCAGTTTTTATATATTGACATGGAATACTGCCCAAATGCATGATAGTGATTAAGGAAGATTGGAAAATAATATGCATTCTGTGATTTCACTAGCAACTTACATGGTAAATTATTATGTTAATTTAAGTATAGGAAAAATCTGGGATGCTACATATATTAACCTGTTGATGGGATTAGGGGAGATTTTTACTTTTATGTATTTTTGGTAGTTTTTATTTTAAACAATGAGTATGTGTAACTTTTCCTAAGCAGGAAAAAAAAAGATTTTAAGTATTGTACTAAACCTTGGTAATTTGGATGCCCTTGATTTAGCTAACAACTAACAGAGTCTCCTGAGTGGTTTCTGAATTTGAGCTTATGTAGAATCTAAACACTTTACTAAAGTGATGATGATTCTTTTCACAGCTAGAGTTGGGAAGACCTCACTGATTATGTCTCTGGTCAGTGAAGAGTTCCCAGAAGAGGTAAGCCTTTTGATTTATTGCCTCTATTTAATATTTTTTAAATTGACTTAAAATGAAATACTTTCTGCTCTTTTTTTACATGTGTTTTCTGACAGTTGTGACTTTTTAAAAGGCTTATGTTTGTTTATACAAGACACCCCTTGTAATGTAGTATAGCAGAAAGATCAGACTTGTCTGAGCCTACTTAATTCCTTTGCATTCCTGCCTTTGACATTGGCGAGGCCATTTGTCACTGCTGTGCCTTAGTTGTCTCATGTAAGATGGTAAGTGAAAGGGGTGTTAGAGATCATCTAAGCTGTGTAATCCTTTCTTTAAAAAAAATGTTACTTATAAGCCCACAATATAAAACAGATAAGTGTTCCTGTAATTCAAGTAAGGGTGAAAGGTCTGGATCCCCACCTGCCTTCCATGTGACACTTCCTGGTCTTTGAGGGATGAGAACCACTAGGATTCTGACACATATTTCAAAATCTTTAATATTATCCACCTGCATCATTTTATAAGTGAAAAACTAATTCATTACATCTTTGCCTGCCTCAAAGGATTGTTGTGGGTATCAAATAAGATAAGCTTAATGGTGGTAGGGTGCCACCAAAAGTAAGGTGGTTTTATTACTGCTGGCAATAGATTTGTTTATATCTTGGAAGTTGCAGTATGGGGGACTGCTCGCTAAGGACTTAGGTAAAGTTAGGATATTGTTATGGGGGATGGGATCAGTACAAATGGGATGAAAATTATTTCTTTTTATTCTCTTTCTTCACATAGTAGGTCTTATTAGTATCACTGTTTGCATTTACCCTTTCTTTACTCTTGCTTAGTTAGGGATATCTGTATAATTTCAGTGCTGAGACAGGAATTTGATGCATTATGGAGTAATGTTTTCAACAATTGAAATACCCACATAACCATTCATTGATTCTTTTGCTTTTTTTGTCTCTTAAATAAGATGGTTAAATAAGTAATAAGTAATTACTTAATTTGTGAAATGAAGTGTATTTTCATATGATCACTCAGGATATAATAATAAAGTTTTCTGTGATAGCTTAACTTAGTTTATAAGTGTCATTTTAGCATTGTCCTTTTGGGTGTGGATGAGGTTTTTGATTGATTAATAAAATCATTCAGTCTTTCTAAAAAATGGAGTCATTAAGCATAAGGCTTGTGTAGCCAATAAGTTATCTTCTAGAACAAATGAATTTTGAATATTTACTGTTTTATTTGAGGGTTGTTTTGGATTAACATAGCTCCTCATTTGTAGAGTACCTTAAGCAGTCAACAAAATAGAATGAAAGCATTTTAAAAATCAAATGTTTGAAACACCAAATTAATTTAAGTATTGTTTTAGGCTGCATCACACCTAAAGTATCGTTAATATGTTATTTGCCCACACAAGCAGAAATGTGAATTTTTTTTAAAGTATTTTATCAGTAAAGCACAAAAATAAGGATTTAAAAGTATAACAAATATAACTGTAAGAATAATAAAAGGGGCTAATATGTAGATAGAATTACATAATTTATTAACGAGTTTGATTGGTAATGTCTCAATATTTCTCCTTTTCTATGTTTACAAATGAAGGTTCCTCCCCGGGCAGAAGAAATCACCATTCCAGCTGATGTCACCCCGGAGAGGGTCCCAACACACATCGTGGATTACTCAGGTGATGAATGTCCTCTTGTGGGGTGAAGCTGTAGGGTTAATTTAATAGTCCTCAAAAAAAGGTATTTACTGAGCTTTAAAAAATGTTTAAAGAGTGATGGCCCTTTTTCTCTAGCAATAAATGATCATCATTTACAGTTCTCATCTCATTTTTATCTCCCTTCCAAACATCCCCTTCCTCCCCTGCCCCCGACCCCACAAAACCTCCATCTTGCGGTTCTGTGCTCCTTATTTACCACATTATATTCCATAATAATGAAAAGAAAGGAGGGATAGTAAATGACAAGTAGTAGATGAATCATTACCCTACTTGAATTGGAATGTTTTCAGGGAGAAGTTCTCAGTTAATTTTGTTATTGGGCATTCAGGCATGCTGTGGTGATATAGAAAGAGTTCTGAATTTGAGAATTTGTTGAGTTCTAAATTTGTCCATTAATTTGTCATTCTTCGTCCCCCCCAAAATAATAGTTGAAACAGTTGTCACCTTGTTTATATTATATGATAGAAGCACATTATATTATATAGTAGAAGTCTCTGTTGCTTTTAATGATTTAAATATTTTCTACACACTAGCACTTACTTTTTTAGCATTACATTATTTTGTTGTGGGTCTTAAAAAAAATGGGTGGGAGTGAATTGTAAAAGATGTACCACTCTGATGGGGATTTTGATAATAGGCAAGCTATGTGGGGGCAGGAGGCATATAGGAAATCTCTGCACCTTCTCAGTTTTGCTGTGAACCTAAAAATACTCTAAAAAATAAAATACATTTTAAAAAATGGGTATAACTACATTGGTAATACTTTGTTTTGTTAAGCTGATATTCTGTATTCATTCTAAAAATGAAACATTAGAAATGTGCAGTTTGACACGTGACTATTGAACATTTAAAATGTGACTAATTGAAAGAAATGTGCTGTAAATATAAAATACAAGTGGATTTAGAAGACTGGGTATGAAAAAGAATATATCATTAATAATTTTTCATATTGAGTACATGTTGAAATTTTGATTTTTTTTGTATTTTGGGTGAAATAAAAAAGTAATTTTACCTTTTCCTTTTTGCTTTTTTTAAGGTGACTACTAGGACATTAAAAATTACATAGATGGCTTGCATTATATTTCTACTGGCAGCACTATACCAGAAGCTGAGGGGGGGCTCGATGCTTTCTGCTTCAATCAGTCTCATAACTTTATTTACAGAACTATTCTTTTTCAATATGTGTAGCCATATACGTAGATTCACTTCAGTATTAGAAAATGAAGGCTTCATACTCAACATATGAAAAGATGTTTAAAACGTGGCTTATTTAGCATAGACTAAAAAACTATTGTACTCATGATGTTAGTTTGAATGTCAGAAATAACAGGCCTCTGGGGGAAACATTTAATGTAAGGTCATCTAAATTAATATGTCAGTAATTGTGTTCCTCTCCGTTTGTGTGTTTCTTGTTTCTAGCTATATCATGCATATCCCCCGCACTGTGGGACTATAGGCACATACACCCACTGAGACCAGTGCTAGCCAGGGAAATGTGCTAACGAGGGAATTCTTGACTCTTCATTATCATGCTCTGGTTGTGCTTCTGGGGCCTGCTGTCTAGATCTTAAGCTTGTATTGCCCAGATTCCCACATGACCTATTGACTCTGTCTGAGCCTCTGACTCTTCAACACCCAGCCTTCTAGCTTGGGTTTCTGATCCCGTTGGCCTGACCCTTCTCAATTCTGGATCAGATGGCAGCCTAGATTTATCACACAATGCCTTTTGCTCTTAGATTTATCACACAGTGCCTTCTGCTCTTAGAGCCTGAGTTACCTTCCTGTAGACTTGTCTTTCAGGGCCAGCCTGTTCCCTTATCATAGTTCAGCTCTTCCCTTTCCCTGGCTTGTCCTTGTCTTTGCTGCCTCATCTGCCGCTACACGGTGTAAATGACCTGAGGGATGAGGACTGTTTTCAGGGATGCTGATGCGTGTCACAGAGACTTTAGTTTGGCCATTCATTTTGGGGGAAGTGTTCAGGTATGAAACTGTTGTTTGGCTTTGTCATTTGTAGAGGCAGAACAGAGTGATGATCAACTTCATCAAGAAATATCACAGGTGAGTTAAAAACAGTTGTAGGTTTTTTTGTTTCAGGAAAACAGTGATGTTTCTGTGAGTTTACCTCTTTCATTCTCACACTTACCAAGAGGGCTTTTCCAGTGCGTTTTTGTTCCTGCTGACTGTATGTATTTTTTGCTGCAAGTCCTTAGGAAACACTTTTTTCTTAGAGGCATGCCAGGTTATTTTGTGCGTGTGTGTGTAGTTTAAAATTTTGTTCTTCCTTTGACCCTAATGTATTAATCAGTTCGTAATTAAATGCCACTGTTTATATTTGTATCATTTAAAAAGAACTATTGTTAACTTTTCTTATAGGCTAATGTCATCTGCATAGTTTATGCTGTTAACAACAAGCATTCTATTGATAAGGTATGAATGTTTTTTTACTTCATTTGGTTAAATTTCAATGGGGGCAGTTTCAAAATTGATCCTCAATTTAGAATTTTAGGGGGTTCAAGGGGCAGAGTATTTTTCAAAGATGATCCTCATCATGGCTTAGCTTTTGTTAATTTTCACTTTAGGTAACAAGTCGATGGATTCCTCTCATAAATGAAAGAACAGACAAAGACAGCAGGTACTCTTTTTTCTCTCAAACTTTGCACATTGAAAAATTTCAAACTTAGAGAAAAGTTGTAAGAAATAGTAAAACGAACATCTGTAAACCCTTCACTTAGATCAACCAGTTGTTTAATATTTTGCCACGTTTATGTTATCTGTAGTTCTCTATGTTTACACATACACTGTTTTGGGGAGGAACTATTTGAGGCAGCACATATATTTGAGAGCAAAGCAGAAAATAGAGCTCTGGCACTATAGTAGTTCACAGCTTCAGACATTAAGTATTTTGATAATCTTACATTACTCTTCTCAAACCACTGTTGGAGAAGTCTCAGGTTTAGAATTCCTCTTCACCTGTATTGTATGTGACCTCTCTCCTGACATGCCCCTTTGATGAGAAATGGCATTCCCTCTTGTCATGGATTGCTCACAGTGTGGTGTATGTAAGAGCGCAGGACTTGGAGGAAAATGAATGCCCTTGAAATCTGGCTTTTCTTTTAGGAGCTTTAAGACTTTGACTTCATTGAGCCTTAGTTTCCTCATGTGCGAATGGGGAGTAGGATAATAGCTGTCTTGGCTACATGTGGACATTTTGAGAATGCAGTGAAATGATGCATGTGTAAGTGCTTTATGGGTACTCTAAAAATCTCTAGAGATCTTCATATAGGAATTCATGCAAGAATTTGAAATTCTTTGGAATATATATGTGTGATAGGGAAAAAGAAAGAACGCACATTCTATATTTTTCTGAGCAGAATGGTAGTTCTGAGTTACGGATCTTTTCAGTTTAAAGTGAAAGTGGAAACAAAACATTTTTCTTGCAGTATTTTTTAATTGGACATGTTATTTGTAAAGCATTTGAGTCTTTTTAAATGCTAGGGAAATTAGACATTTAATAATACCTGTGTATTGTACATATCTGGTCCTTAATTTTTTAGGCTTCTCTTTTAGTTGTGCATTTTTGTGCCTTGAAACATCAAAGATTTAGTTCTAAACAGGTGAACATGGTCACTGACCCTGTCTCACATGCTTGTGGAGGGAGACTTTGTGACCAAAGACGGCCCTGTATATACTCTGTCTTGCACCTCTGATGACTTCTCTATATCATGGTTTTAAACTCTCTAGTGACTTACTGACAAGATGGAAAAGGAGAGATTGGCTCTCTTGAGCTACACTATTCAATACAGTAGCCTTTCGTCAGTTGTGACAATTTAAGCAAAATTTAAAAACTTCAAATTCATTTCCTTAGACCCACTTAGCCACATTTCAGGTGCACAGTAGCCACTTGTGGCTAGTGGTTACAGCGGTGAAAAGTATAGATTAAGATCACTTCCATCATCACAGAGCGGTTTATTAGACAGGGTTGCTTTAGGGGAGTCAATACCCATATGCTCCTGACACTTGCTCTTCTTGCTGATTACTTGAGCCCTTTCCAGTTGGGTGCTCTTCAGAGAAGGCAGTTTTGCCAGGATCTGTCAGCACCAGATTGAACCACTGAATTGTAAAAAAAAACTGGCTTTACTGTGATGGCTGCCTAAAATGCTATGGCTCGTTTCATGGCCCTTTTAGTACACCTGAAAGTGGCTTTTAACTTTGAAGATCTAATTGAGCTTTCTCAGATGTGGCTGTATTTTTTCCCTTCCTGAATCATATGAGCATACTTATTTTTCTTACGGTTGACTTGTCCAAGGTGGTTTATCTCTTTATTTTACAGACCTTAAACTTTCCCATTATCTTCTTTCCTGGGACTCATATATGCTCAAGTTTTTATTTGTTACACATGTATTCTTTCTTTGGACTTCCTTGGGTCATTGTTACACTGGTTTTTAATCAGGAGTGCCCATCACTCTCACCTGAGGACTTGCCAAAAATACAGACGCCTTTGCCTTATACCTGTTGTTTCAGAACTCGTAGGTTTGGAGTAGGGCTTGGATATGTGTATTTTTTTTAAGCTCCATAAAGTGTTCTTAGCGTACCTTTAGCTGCAGACCACTACATTTTTGGATATCCTCCTGGCTCTGTTAGGAATCTATATTTGAGCTATTTAGTGGGCCCATCCTTTTTACAGTTACCACACTGGGGTGGGTACAGGGTGTGTGTAAATGAATGCTTGCAAACTTACATTGCAATATGGAGTTCTAGCAAGATGATTTGCTTTCCTTCCAAGCTCTCTTGCAAGATGCACAAATAACAGGTCTCCAGTAGCCTAGTTCTTGATAATCCCTATTTAGATTTGATAGGCCTGTCAGATTTAATTTGTTTAAAACTTAATCCTTAATTCTCTGCCTTCTCTCCACCCTTCAGCCCCCAAAATCATACTTTTCTGTCTCTGGAGAAATACCCATTTTGTCCAGCCAAATACCTGGATATTTTTCTTTATTTCTGTCTTTCCCTCAACCTCTGTATCTTTCAGTTGCTCTTACCAGTTCTACTTCTAAAACATAAATCTGAGTATTTTCTCTCCATCTTCACTGCCCTAATCTAAGCCACCACATTTTTTAAAAACTTTGTTACTGAAAAAAATCAAACATAGTCAAAAGTAGAGAGAACAGTATACTGAATCCCTCTGATTCTGTCATCCAGCCTCAACAATGATTGACTACAGCCAGTGTTATTTCATTTATTGCCTCTCCAATTGTCATCATTTTGAATAAATCAAGACATCATATCTTAGTGTAAATATTTCAGTTTGTATGTCTAAAAGATAACTAATGACTATATTTAAAAGGTCCATTAGATCACTTCATCCCCTTACTTATAACCCTTCAGTGGCTTCCCATTTCATACTTAACAATAAAACACAAACTCCGTGCTACTGTTGTAAGTCCGTACAGTCTGGCCTTTGCTTCTCTCTCCAGCTCTGTTTCGTACCTCTTCCTCTTTGTTCAGCACTCTCCAGCCCCTCAGGCATTTTTCTGTTCTTCTGACTCACCAGGATGTTGCTGCAGTTCGGGGCCTTTGCCCGTGCTGTCCCTTCTTCCAGCCAGCTCTTCCCTGGTCCTTTGACACAACAGATTCCATTTCAGTCTTTACTCCATGACTTAAATGCCTCCTTGTCAGAGAGATTTCCCCCTGATCATCATGTATTATTAGTTCTCTCCCATTACTGTATCCCATATCCTCCTGTTTATTTCCTTCATAGCACTTAAGGAATTGGGAAATGTCTCATTTTTTATTTGCCTATTGTCCATTTTTCTGATTTTCACTATTAGCATGGGCAGGGACCTTGTGTGTCTTGTGTCCTTAATGACTAGAACTGTCCCTGGCTTGTAAACGTAAACATTTGTGGACAATGAACATGCTCTCTAGGGGGCTGAGGGTTCATGTTGGGGAGAGAAGTAAAGCTTATTAGTTAGAATGGGCTCTGATGTACATTAAAATATAAACTTGATGTCTTTTGCCTTCCTTATAATTAAAATGTGCCCTGTTTATTTTAGGCTGCCTTTGATATTGGTTGGGAACAAATCTGATCTGGTGGAATACAGTAGTATGGAGACCATCCTTCCCATTATGAACCAATACACAGAAATAGAAACCTGTGTGGAGGTATGCCTTATCATTTAGTTTTGAAGTTGACTGTTGGTGAATTCTCCCTAAATTGAGCTTCAGAATAGGAAGTGAGAAAATGTGGGATAGACTGTATTTCATGTTGTTTGTGAAGTCACGTAAACCAAATAAAACAGAGAATGTGGAGTTGGTCTCTGACCTCTTTGTAGGTGTTAATATTGTGATATCCACAAAAATGCATTTTTTCAGTTTCTTCAGGGAATCTTATTATTACCTTATATTGATAGTTTAAAGTTGTTTTTAGCTTTCATAATTGCTTCCAGAGTATAAAGTTCTAAACTTTATTTTCAGTGTTCGGCAAAAAACCTGAAGAACATATCAGAACTCTTTTATTATGCACAGAAAGCTGTTCTTCATCCTACAGGGCCCCTGTACTGCCCGGAGGAGAAGGAGGTAAGCACCCTGCCGTCCCCCAGGCGTTGTTAGTAGAGGCTGGAATGTGTAGGTGGTAACTAGTAGGGTAGTGATTTTTAGTTACTCTTCAGTATTCTTTTAAACTGTTGAAATTTAAATTTATTGTTTATTAAACTATTACATTTCTAGGTACTTTTCTTCAAAGACATTCACATTAAATACTCAGAGTTGTATTTCAGATCAAATACTATTTCAGGAAATGCCATTAAACCAGCAGAAGAATTGGCAACAGTAACAACAAAAAGTCCAGAGTCCAGCTAATGGTCTACTTGCTTTGCTGTTATGAAATCCACATACTTAAAAACACACACAAACAAAATCTTGTGTAGTTATTTGACATGGGTACAACATGTAGTACAGTTTGAGTACTCTCTTTTGTTTCATAAGGAATATAATAATTCCTCAATGAAGGGTCTAAAAATTTAACAATATTTGTCAGTCTTTTTAAATTAGTTTTTATTGGGATATAACTCATGATACCATAAAATTCAGCCTTTAAAGTACAATTCAGGTTTTTTTTGGTATATTCATAAAGTTGTACATTTATCACCACTGACTAATTCCAGAGCATTTCATCACCCCAAAAAGAAACACTGTACCCATTAACAGTCACTCCCACTCTCCCTTTCCCCCAGCTCTTGGCAACTGATTTACTTTCTGTCTCTACTGATCTGCCTATTCTGGACATTTCATATAAATGGAGTCATATAATATGTGGTCTTTTGTGTCTGGCTTTAATATTTTCAATATACATCCATGTTGTAGCATGTATTAATATTTCATTTCTTTTTCTAGCCAAATATCTCCTTATATGGACATACTACATTTTGTTTATCCATACATCTGCTGATGGACATTCAGATTGTTTCACTTTTTGTATGTGAATAGGCTGCTATGAGCAGTCACATACAAGTTACAATACGTCTTTTCAGTTCTTTTGAGCATATGTTTAGGAGTGGAATTGCTAGGTAAAGTAGGATTTCTGTGTTTAACTTATTGAGGAATCGCCAAACTGTATGAGGGTATTGTTTTGATTTGCATTTCCCTGATGGCTAATCATATTGAACATTTTTCATGTGCTCATTGGTCATTTGTATATCTTCTTTGGGGAAATGTCTGCTTAAGTCTTTTTCCCATTTCTTTTAATAAATTAATTTTTTTATTAAGGTATCACTGATATACAATCTTATGAAGGTTTCACAAGAAAAACAATGTGGTTACTACATTCACTCTTATTATCATCTCCCCCCACAGTATGCAGTCACTGTCCATCAGTGTAGTAAGATGCCAGAATCACTACTTGTCTTCTCTGTGCTACACTGTCTTCCCCGTGACACCACACACACCATGTGAACTAATCATGATACCCCTCAATACCCTTCTCCCTCCCTCCCCACCAGCACCCCCTCACTCCTCCCTTTTAGTAACCGCTAGTCCCTTCTTGGAGTCTGTAAGTCTGCTGCTATTTTGTTCCTTCAGTTTTGCTTTGTTGTTATACTCCACAAATGAGGGAAATCATTTGGTACTTGTCTTTCTCTGCCTGGCTTATTTCACAGAGCATAATACCCTCTAGCTCCATCCATGTTGTTGCAAATGGTAGGATTTGTTTTCTTCTTATGGCTGAATAATATTCCATTGTGTGTATGTACCACATCTTCTTTATCCATTCATCTACTGATGGACGCTTAGGTTGCTTCCGTATCTTGGCTATTGTAAATAGTGTTGTGATAAACATAGGGGTGCATATGTCATTTTGAATCTAAGAACTTGTATTCTTAGGGTAAATTCCTAGGAGTGGAGCTCCCAGGTCAAATGGTATTTCTATTTTTAGTTTTTTTGAGGAACCTCATTATTGCTTTCCACAATGGTTGAGCGAGTTTACATTCCCACCAGCAGTGTAGGAGGGTTCCCCTTTCTGCTTTTCCATTTCTTAAGTAATTTGTCTTTTTATTGTTGAGCTTTTAAAAAATAATAAATTGAATATTTTGAATATTTTTTTCAGGAAAATGTATAGCACAGGTGAGTGGTTGGCTGACTGTGACCTCTGGGCCACATGTGATGTGCCACCTGTTTTTGTACAGCCTGTGAGCTAAGAATACATTATGTTTTTCAATGGTCAAAAATAAATCAAAAAATAATATTTTGTCATACTGGAAATAATATGATCAGATTCCATTCATAAAGTGTTGCAATTCAGTCACACCATTCCTTTGTGTTTGTCTGTGACTGCTTTCATCATTCATACTACTCAAAGGCAGAGCTGAGTAGTTGCAACAGAGCTCGTACATCCTGCTCATTACTGTGCTGCTGCTCAGAGCACTGCTGGTTGCACTGAGGCAGTTACAACCCGACGGAATTTCAAGTACCATGTGTACTACTGTAACATGACATTTTATTTTTTATTATCAGTTCATTATAGTCTATCATGCAAATATAAGAAATGAAGTATGTGGATTTATAGATGGCAAAGCAGATATATTTTCTGAGCTCAAACTTTAGTTCCAGCATCTTTTTGTGGGGGGGACCTCAATGCAAGTGCAAAGGAAATTTCCAGATTTCAAATCCATGTGACTGTGCAGTTAAGGGTCTTCCACCTAACCTTCAGTTGGAACTGATTAATCTGCGGTGTGATGACATGCTAACAGGCAAATAGCAAGAATCTAATATAATTCTATAATGCTTTCTAAGCAGTGATTAAAAGTGTATGTTTATGGATGTGTATCAGTGTTGGTAAGGTATTATCTAGGCAAAAACACATTTTCAAAGATGAAATATGTAAAATCTTATAGTGGATCTAGCAGCAACAAGTGAATACTTCAATTGGTTTTCATGATAGGGAACATTATCTTTCAGCTCCAATTAAGCAAAATGTATCCGTCCAGATAGAATTCCATTCTTCTTATTAGTAGACCTGTATGTTAAATTTATACTCAGTTATTATATTTTTAATTTTGTCAATAAAAACTTTGTGGAATTTGATTCTCTCTTGCTGTATACCTACACGATATCCATGATTTTGCCTGTTGGCCCCCAAAGCCTAAAATACCTGCTATGTGGCCCTTTACAGAGAAAGACCTTTGGTGTAAGTAATTAATCTTGTTATTCTTTAATCTGACCCTAATTTACTCTTCCTTAATCCTGGTTTACTGTTCCTTAATTGGAATGCTTCTTTCTAATTAACTCTTAATCCAGTATTTCCCTGATTCACTTCATAATAGTTACCAGGCATACATGTTAAAACCCCAATTCCATTCTGATTAGGAAATTAAAGAACAGTCTCATAGAGATTTACCTGTAAGGCCTTATCCTAGCAGTACATTAGATCCTCCCTATTAGTTTCTTATCAGTTCTTTAATTGCTACTTTTTTTCTTAGGCCTATTACTAGTTTTGCTAATCTTCTAGTCACCGCTCCCCTTCCCTCAATCCCGTAAGAGTAAAATTCTACCACCATCTGTTATTTGTTTCTTAAGTGGACCCGCCCGAAGAAAAATCTGCAATTTTTAGAGACTTTTACCTTGTTTTACACAAGTACACGCTTTTGAGTCTAAGCTTACCCCAGAATCTTTTGTTTAGACAAAAATAATAAACTTTTAACACAGATTTGAGGTAGAATCATCCAAAAGATCATATTCAAAAATTAAAGCCTGAACTGTAAATATGTTTCTAATTATGGTTAGTCTGACCTGTAGAGTCCTCTGTTTACCTAATAATGAAGAAGATGTGACTTGTGTTTACTGTGTGTAAGTTTAGATTACTTATCAGTGAAGCAAGTTTATTTTACTACTGTAAATTTTTTTATAGCTTTACTGGAATATGATTTTTAATACTTCTCATAAGTAGTCATATTTTTGTGTTATATTTTTAGGATGGTAAATATTTAAATATCACATGAAGTCAGTACTTTTAGAACACTTTTAGCTTCTGATCCATTTTAATCTTTGATGAAAAAAGCACCACTTTATTTTTCTTCAAATTGCTTTTTTTTAATGTAGCTTTGTATGATGTGAGGAAATACCACTTGCACAAAATAATTTTTAGATACTTTAAAACATAATTTTAGCTATCGCTCCTTTTTGAAACATTTAGGTTATATAACAGATTTTTAAAAGAGTAAATATAACAATGTAGTCTCTATTAATCTTGAGTATCTAATATTAGGATCATATTTATTTATAGAAGCAATATCTTAGCATTCTTTATTTTTTAAAAATCACCCATGATTGTAGACATTGTAAGTTATAGTGCATTTAGTAGTCTTTTACAGATAGGCCCTATCCAGCGCTTTCTGAATTTCTTGCTTTTCTCAGTTCTTTCTAATCTTAGGTTTTTTCTCTTGTTTGCTGTACCAAATTGCTCTTCTAGAGACCCCATTTAAAACAAAAAGGGATTGTGTATTGTATGTTTGGGAAGAGAAGTGTTTCCTTTCCTGTTTTTAAAAGAATTTTTTTCTACATTTGAGTCTGGTAAGCATGATCCAAATGCATCGTTAGTGTTTGCCCTGGAAAGCCATAACACTGAGGTTAATAAATACACATTTCCTTACCTTGACACCTCATTCTCTATTTCAAATGTGTCCATAAGAAATTTACCTCCAAGCTTACATAGTGCTCAAAGATCTTCCTGAAAATTTTGTGCTCTCAAAATTGTTGTTGGTGACTATCCTATAGCAGTTAAACAGATTAGAAGCATGTGGGCCTTATTTTTAATAGTCAAATACCTAGTGTTTAATAGTCAGATATTTGTTCTACTCATTATAAATCCTAAAACAAAAGTTAAGGGAGCTGTAGAAATATATTTTCAGCAGTATTACTTATAAAAGTTTTACAGAGTCACAGAGGGCAAGATTATTTTTTTAAATGTAAGTAATTCTTATAATAGGAAATTAATAATAAAAGGCTTTTACTCTTTCCAACCAGTGTTCTTTGCCACCTGTTTGTGAATGAGCACATTTTATACCCAACTTTGACATACACACCCCTTCAGATGAAAATATTTATTCCCCAGTCTGCTACCAGAAGGCTGCTCGGGCAGGCTGGGGAAAGAAAACCAGAAGGTTGGAAAGGAAACCCTTGTTAGTGTTCTAAGTCAGCTCAAATTCTTTATGGAATGACAGGGAGCATACATAGGTAATTGTTTCTTATACGTGTGACTGAGAGAATGAATCTTCTCTGAAGGTGAAATTTTCTTTTGCCCATCCTTGGAGGATTCATGGTAATGAGGGGAGAGTTTAAACTATTCTACACAGCAGTCCAAGTAAATATTGCCTCATTTACTTACAGAAATTTGAGTATGAAAGCATATGGCTTTGCTTTGGTTCATTTTTCTTGTTGGTTGTATTTGATTTGTGTATTTGACAGTGAAAACAGAATTATTCTTAACATTACTTAATGAAAATCATAGTTAAAGATCCTACTATTTTAATTAAAACAAATGTATCTTTTCTCAATGAATTACAGATGAAACCAGCCTGTATAAAAGCCCTTACTCGTATATTTAAAATATCCGATCAAGATAATGATGGTACTCTGAATGATGCTGAGCTCAACTTCTTTCAGGTAGCCCTCTTCTTTTATAGACATTTGCGTATTTTTTTTCCCTGAGAAAAGCTGTGAAAAATTTTATTATCTTAAATAATAATTTATTGATAAACTGTAAAATGATCTTTCATATCAAGCTATTTGTCTTTCCCTAAGACATTAAATTTTTCTTATGTACAAGAATTGAGGAGGCTCTTTTGATAGTGTCATTTCTTGGTACACAATGGGTATACTCAGAGTGACTTGAAATCCAAACTGAATTGTTTTTCTTGGTTTTCTACAGTATAGCTTTCCAAAGAGCTCTGTGTTTTACGGAGGAGGAGTAGGGAAAGTTTCTTCTAAGGATGACATGTTTTACTTTAGTAATACGATGTGATTTGTTTCTTTTGGTTGCAACTCTTTCATTTAAAGTTGCTTTGTAGATTTAAAGTTGCTTTGTAGATTAATAATCTGTATTATTTGTAGTCTAGTGCTTTTTTGTTACCAAATTTATTTTTATGTTTTTTGCTAGAGAATTTGTTTCAACACTCCATTAGCTCCTCAAGCTCTGGAAGATGTCAAAAATGTAGTCAGAAAACATATTAGTGATGGTGTGGCTGATAGTGGACTGACACTGAAAGGTAGGTGAATGGTATGATCTCCCGTTTGAGCTTAATACTTTCAGGATTTGGCAGGAGGCAAAGGTCTTTATAGCATTATTTATACTTAAAGGATATGTAGTATTTACTAATCTGCCTAAGATCTAACTTGGATATTTAAATGTTGGAAGAGACAGGCCATTGGTGGGGATAGTTATCCTTACTGTCTGTCAGCAGAATTTAGAGGTGGGGTATTGGGTTGGATCTCAGGAATGCAGAAGTCCACCTGAGGGAAAGAGATTTCTGAAACCAAAAGATTATCTTAAAATCCTTCCTACTCATAAACATCCTTTATGTAGAAATTAATTTTAGGGAAGACTTGTCTACCAGTCAAGCTTACTAAGCACAGAATGTTCCCTGTAGAATATGTTACAGAGCCACAGTGAAATAAGAAATGAAATTGAAAGTCACAGTTCTCCATTGTAGAAATAAGTGTAAAGATCTATGGAGTGACTTCATTTGTTTTTATCATAAATTTGTGACTGTCGGCATACTCCTTGGGATGTGTTTTGTCCCTTTCATCCAGTCCCGTCTCTTGCCGGCCTGTATATGTGAAATGATTCTGAAATTAGCTGTTTCATTCATTCATACACTTGTGAATTTTGATTTGTTCTGACCTTCAATATGCAAAACTAGCATGTGTATGTTCATGAATCCAGCTCTTGCTGTGTGTTGCATGTTGTGACCCCATGTGACCCTGTACCCTTTTGCACATCAACTATATTTACTAATTTATTTTATTTCAGGTTTTCTTTTTTTACACACACTTTTTATCCAGAGAGGGAGACATGAAACAACTTGGACTGTGCTTCGACGATTTGGTTATGATGATGATTTGGATTTGACACCTGAATATTTATTCCCCTTGTATGTACCTTTGGCTTTTTAACTGATTTCACTTGCCAAGTATTTTTAGTTTTATTTAGCACATAGGTAGGCTTTCAGGAATTATTCAGGAATAATTTAGATTTATAGAGAGATTTTTATAGCAGGATTTTTCAACCTTGGCATTTTTGACATTTTATACCAGATAATTCTTTGTTGTAGGGTCTGTCCCACACACTGTAGGATGTTTAGCACATTCTTAGATGCCTCCTCCCCCAGTTGTGACAATTGAAAATATCTAATGTCTCTAGAAATTGCCAAATGTTCCTTCCGGAGCTAAGTCATCTGCAGTTGAGAACCACTGATTTATAGCATGGCTCAAACTTTTCCTCTTCTTCTCATGGAGAATACAAGTATCTCCTTTTATTCATTTTACTGAGAAAGGAGATAAAAGATGCTGGACAAACTTGTTTGGAGTCAAGAGATAAGACATACATTGGTCAGCATTTGTCTTTACTTTGCATTAGTCCTTCTCCTCCCTAAGTTTTATGACCTCTTCTTAGCTCAGAATAAAATAATTATTTTTCCCAAACAACCAGTCTATTTGTGGTTATTTTCCTTTAAATGAAAATATATTTAAGTTCTCTTTGTTTAAAAATGGGACCCAGCGTCACCCTGAAACAGGAGACTGCCTGGCTGTAGGGTACCTCTCCTGTACCCCAGGGAAGTGGCTTTTCAACGAAGTGACTTCCCAAGACCTGGCCTTTGAGTCTTCGGCCTTTCTTATTCATCTTTTTAGTGGCATGTTATCTTCATGTTGTCCTTTTTTATTTTAGCATTAACACCCCTACCTATATGTGTAGAGGTTCAGAAAGATGTTTTTTCCTTCCTTGCCATTGAGGAAGCAAAGTTCTTTCTGGTTGAATTCCTTGTCCATTAATCAGTTCAAAATGGAAACTTCCCTTGTCAAATTATTAAATCTTAGCTCAAGTAATTTCCCAGATTTTTCAGTAAACATATATTGAATGAATGAATTTGTCCCAGGACCTTTCATCAAGCTTTCTTTTCTGTGCCATTTACATGGGTAGATAAATTCTACATGAGGTTGCTTATTTTTTTAAGTATGACAGTGAAGAAACTCCATCTCTTATGGCTTTGTGGCTTACACAAGTATGTCTGAATTTCTTTATACTCTCTGCCTTTTTCTGCAAAATAGCCCCTTAGAGCCACCACTTGAATCTTTCTAGCCTTCTTATTAAACTCTCTGACTCTCTCCTTCACATTGCTTCTAGATTTATATATATATATGTACATACCGATTGGGCCAGGTCACTTCCCTTCAAGACAGGATAAGGCCCAAGCTTCTTAACTGGGTATTGAAGTCATTTGTGATCTGCTCTGGTCATGCTTACTCCCTGCCTTCATTCTAGAAGTAAATACTAAACTATTTATAGTCTACCAATCCTATGTTGTTTACTATTCCAGGCTTTTGCCCATGGTATTTTCACTCTATTGCTCCCTCTCCCCCCAATCTAATTAATGCCTCTTATCCTTCAAGTCTCAGTGCAGGTGACAGTGTCTTTCAGCAGTGCTGGTACCTTCCCACCCTCGGCCAGAGACACTCCCTTTTGGGTGGGCTCTCCTTGCATCCTCAGCTTACCTGTACTGAGCACTCATCTCATTCTGTTGAGATAGTGAGTTTATCTGTTTGTGGTCTGTCTCCCTCTTGAATGTGGTGGCTTAGAGGTCGGGAGCATATCTTGTTTTTATGTCCGTAGTTCCCAACTCAGTGCATTTGATCAGTGCTTATTGAACTGAAGTTTAGGGTGGGTCAAAAAAGTCAAAACAGGCAGAAATAACATCTCTTTGCTTCATTTTTGACCCATTACAATGTTGACATTGTATAAAACCCATAATTTTGACTTACTGATTTGTTTATAGGAAGAACAAACCCGTTATAATGAGTATTATTAATAAAATTTTCATTTCAACTTGCCCTTCTGGTATTTAGGAAAACTTTATATGTCAGCACAAAATGAGCATTATTACAACTCTCTGAGGATTGTCATTGCATTGACTTTCCCTGGAAAAGTCTAAAAGGTTCCAGCAAAGATATTTTGTAAATGGTGTCATTCCACAAAAAGGCTTGTTGCAGTTTTATATTCATTTCTTAAATTTTAATATTTGATTAATGATTTATTTTACTTGTAATTTTTTTTTCATCATCAGGCTAAAAATACCTCCTGATTGCACTACTGAATTAAATCACCATGCATATTTGTTTCTGCAAAGCACCTTTGACAAGCATGATCTGGTAAGCTTTCAGCTGCAGTTTGCCATGGTATATGATTAAAATATTTTTTTTGTGAATAATTAACTGAGTTCCCTTTAGCTATGTGATGCTCATGTTACAGAGCCCAAAACTGCTCAAACTCTCTTAAGGTAAACTAGCAAAAAATGCCTTGTTTTATTTATTTACTTTTATTGTTTTCTCGAGATGAAAAAGTCTGTAGTTTCTGGTAGACTCCTGCATAGGTTTTCTTATGTACATGTAAAATTTTCTTGGTAAAATGTAAAATTTCTTTTCATTTGTTAGTTTTTAAAAACATAGCTTTACTACCCTAGGAGCCTCCTGTGTTTGGGAATTATGTTAGATATCTGAACGTTATTTATACTTCCTTGTGTATCTTCAGGATAGAGACTGTGCTTTGTCACCTGATGAACTTAAAGATTTGTTTAAAGTTTTCCCTTATATACCTTGGGGGCCAGATGTGAATAACACAGTTTGTACAAATGAAAGAGGCTGGATAACCTACCAGGGATTCCTTTCCCAGTGGACGTAAGTATAGAGCTCACCTGTTTCCTCCACAGTTACAGCTGGTTTAAGGTGCATTACATTCATCATTTTCTAAGTTTGTTAGATCTTACGAAATGCTTTGATCATAACTGCTGTAAGTAGGATTTATAGCGCTGTTACAGTCTCTAAGATGAACTTCAGATGTTCCATACATTTATTACGAAAGGGTGCATTTGCTTTTGGGTGATGTACAGGGGAACAGTGGGATGTTTTACATCAAAACTGAACTAAATGTTAATACATTTTTGATAAAGTGAATTAGAAACATTGCTAGTGTACAATTCTTACATCTTCAGAATGTGGGGAGAGCATACTTGACACTGAACACTTTGAATTTTTTGTGTTGTTTTGAATGCAGACTTAGTGAGAGTTTGTCTGCAATCTAGCAGATAAACAGCATAGTTGACTTTGTGTCTACGGTGCTAAGGAAATCCTCTGGTCATGCATGATGACATAATTATTTTAACCTTGGTGAGGCTTTCTTAGCATCAGGACCTGTTCTTTTTCACATCCTGAGAAAGTCTTGCTAATTTCAAGTGACTTTCAGTTATTTTTGCACCTTTTGCAAACCTTTCAATTTTCATTAAGTACACTATGTAATGAAGGAAGCAGATGATGTAAAATTTCCCCACTCTAGATTTTATCAGCAGTTCACTGCTCATCTTTGAAACTTTGCTCTCTCTGGGCAAGTGGAGTAGATAGAGAAATCCCCCCACCACTTGCCCCCATCTTTCAATCTCCTCCCTTCTCTGCTTAAGAATGTCAGTATAGGAATATCCATGGTTGGGCACCAGGACATTAAAGACGTCTGACAGAAATGATCTAGGTCTGGTGATGAAATTATTTAAGCTGTTGGAATTTTTTTCCATAAATGTTCATTTAGGAACTTCTCACATTTCAAACTCTCCCTTTCCCTAGGCTTACGACCTACTTAGATGTACAGAGGTGCCTGGAGTATTTGGGCTATCTAGGCTATTCAATATTGACTGAACAAGAGTCTCAAGCCTCTGCCATTACAGGTAAGTAATTGAATACTATTTGGATCCTGATTAGAAACGTTTTTCAGACTCCGGTTTCATTTGTTTAAAAAGAATGAAAATAAATTCATCATTAGTTTTCCTTGTCTGCCCTGTGTTTTGGTAATTCCTTTTGAGTCGAGATGCTTGGTTTTATTATCAAGAAACAGTAGAAATTTTATTTGTAGTTTACACTGACGGTCCTGCATTGGTGAAAACCAGGGAAGGCTGTGGGCATTGAAGGTATTTATTGATGAGTCTATCTTGTGTTTTAATTTTCTTTAAACATTGAAAACAATGTGTGTTAACACATAATCCTGCTACTCAACTAATTGTACATCTTTTGGCTTTGTAACCATTTCCCACATTAATAAATCGGTCACAGATCTTGTAATTCTTGGGAAGCAATGTGCTTTAAGAAAACCCATTTCATTACTGGAAATAAATTAGGGAACTGATTGCTGTAAGAGTTTCTCATATCCTAATTGGTGGGGGTGGGTAAATGCCGTATTTTACCGGAAGCCCCAGCACAAGAAGACAACCAGTCTTAAATTGACAGAGCAAGTACCCTTTAAAGTACTTAACGAATTAGACAGTATTTAATTCAGTGTCAAAGAGTAAGGAGCTAATTGATAGCCAGCATGAGGTTTTTTGACTCAGCAAAATATTGTGGACGTCTTTGTATATCAATAAGTGTACTTTTACATGTCTTGAATGTTAAATAATGTTTCATCATATGGATGTTCTATAACTTCTTTATCCCAGAAGTACTGTGTGTTTTTTATTACTATCAGTCTGTTGCTACTATAAACAATGAACTTTGTTGTAGGTGAATCTTTGGGTCCAGCCTAAGGAGATCTCTTTCCCTCAGGAAGAGAGATGCCATTTCTCTACTGATAGAGCATTGTTTTCTGGCCTATATCTTGTGTAGATTTACATTTGAAAAGCCAGTTAACCCCAGAGTGCATATCCTTTTCCCATTTATAGATCCAGGAGAGTGCAAATGTGAGATAGCATCTTGTAGTTATAATTTGTTCTGACAATAACTTATCACAGAAAAAAATGGATATGCTGTTGGCTATAGTCATTGTAATTTTCATTCATCTTTAGGATATCACTTTCCTTATAAAAATGTACTACTTTATGGGGAAATAAGTATCATTTGGTTTCTAGGAGTTCTCTTTACAGCCAATTTTCAGAAATGCATCTTTTCCACTAACTGGGGCCCTTCTTATTAGATTTAGTACTTCATTTCACATACAGCTTCACTATTTTACATTGTTTGTTTACTGATTAAACATTTCATAGAAGTGATGAATAGCAATACCATATTTTGCAGAATGCACAGTGGAGGTTCAGTGAGTCTAAGTGGTATGTAATTCGGTTTTTGTTTGTTTTAGTAACAAGAGATAAAAAGATAGACCTTCAGAAAAAACAGACTCAAAGAAATGTGTTCAGATGTAATGTAATTGGGATGAAAAACTGTGGGAAAAGTGGAGTTCTTCAGGCTCTTCTTGGAAGAAACCTAATGGTGAGAGTTCTCAGAAAATAGAACTTTATCCAACAAATTTTTATAGTCACAAGTTTATGTAATCTTTTCATAGCCATTAACCTTCTTAGATGATTACTAGAACTCAATGACCTTTGTATATCAGTAAAGAACAATATAAAGTGTAACAATAATCCTGTTGAACTGGCTTTATCTTTGTTTTATTGATGTTAGCTGTCATTTGTTGTTTCTTTTTTTAAACCACTGATTAGATGGGAATTAAATAAATACACATGTGCTTGGCAGGAAGTAAATATACAGTAAATATTTTGAATTGAATACTGAGACCCATTTCTGACTACTTCCTTAAGAGACTGATGTATTTCCAGATGAGTCTCATATCAGACCACATCATAGTATAATGAGAATTGCCAGCAGTTGGCTCTGGAATACATTTTCAATAATACAGTTTGCTTCCTTTTCAGCTACTGCTTTCATTTTATGCAGAACAAATGCATCTTTTGTCTTAGACCTTAAGAACTAAGAAATAGAAAGTCAATATCCCTTTTGTAGTGATAAATAATGCATAGTGTAGTGAAGAATGCCCTTTTATTTATAACACACCCACAGATATATGTAGAGTGTATATGTTAATGAAAACTGGTTACTGAATTTCTAGCTGTGAATATTGAGATTTTTGGTTGGTTTCAGAGGCAGAAGAAAATTCGTGATGATCATAAATCCTACTATGCAATTAACACAGTTTATGTATATGGACAAGAGAAATACTTGTTGGTAAGAACTTCTCTGGCATATAAAGATTATTATTAAGTACATTTTTATGTTGACTCTTTGGAAACATAATTGGGTTTAATTTAATGGCTGTGTGTAGAACTTTTGTGTGATTTTTTTTCCACAATTAATTTTAATTCCCTTGATCTGTGTGGTGATTACATAGGTATAGATATAAGTAAAAATTCATCTATTTGTGTGCTATACCACAAGAAAGTAAAAAAGAACAACAAAACAAAACCCTCCTTTTTACTATTTCTTCTACTTTTACTGAAAAAAAGTATGCCCTGCTATTGACTAGAAATGGTATGAATACCTTAGTGTAAGTGCTTAGATCTACAACCTGAATCGAGTTTCATTTAGCAGGGAGGAGCATAGTTACTGTAAGAATATAGTAATTTATCCTCCACTTGCCCCATGGGCCCAAGCACATAAGCCGGTGAGAATTATGCCTGGGCTTGCCTGGGCTCACCCCGCCTTATCTCTAAACATCCCGACCCTCCCCCAAAGCAGCAGGCGGAGCGGATCCACAATAAAAGGCACCACGCTGCTGCCCTCTCTCTCTTTGTCTCTGTCTCTCTGTGTCTGTCTGTCTTGCTACCCTCTCTCTGTCTCTCTCTCTCTGCAGCCCTCTCTCTCTTTGTCTCTCTCTGTCTCTCTCTTTGTCTCTGTCTCTGTCCCCCTGCTCTCCCTGCTCTCTCTCCCTCTCTCTCTCTGTTCTCTGCTCTCTCTATCCCGCTGCTCTCTCTGTGCCCCCCCTTCTCTGTCTGTCTCTCTGTCCTTCTCTGTCTCTCTCTTTGTCTCTGTCTCTGTCACCCTGCTCTCTCTCCCTCTCTCTCTCTGCTGTCTGCTCTCTGTTCTCTCTGTCCCGCTGCTCTCTCTGCTGCTCTCTCTCTCTCTCTCTCTCTCCCCCTACCCGCTCCCTCTGGGGCAGCCACTCTCTCCTTCAGAGAATAAAATCTCTTGCGTGGGCCTGTGTCTGCTGAGTCATTCTGGGTAAGGAGGGTCGCGGCGAGATACCCTTTCAGTTACCAAATATGTTATTCCAAAAAATGAATGAAAGAAGGATAGAACTGAAAAGATACAATGAAATATAGTAGGAAGAGATTATATATTCTCCTTGGATCCAGTCAGAGTTTGGTTTGAACCCTGGTCCACAAGTGTCGCTTAGCTGTTTGACTTTCAATAAATGGCTTACACTCTGAACCTAAGTGAAAGGAAAGGAGCGACACATAGCAGCAATTCACCGGAGAGTTCCGCTTTATTAGGGAAAGGTGCTGGGTTATATAGGAGGGGGCATGAATTGATTGAGGTGTGACTTCTACAGGGCTGGTGGCTGTTGGCTAGGTGCTGGGATTGGGAGGGGGGCGAGAGGTGATTGGGCTTCAGGTGGCGCCGGCGGGAACTGAGGACCCCGAAGAGAAGCCGGAAGTTTGCCATCTTACTGGTGGGGACCCTTCATTCCCCCCTTTCTCCTCTATGGGTTTGTGGACGTTGCTTTCTCTCTGGCTGCTTCCTGCTGAACAGGGGCGGAGAAGGGAGTGAGGGCTTGAGGACTGGGAGGAAAGGGTTGATAGGACTCCCCGCAGTAAGGACGAGTAGATGTGGACTTCTTCAGGTTTGGAAATCAATGAAGGTTCCCTGTAACCATAGGTTGGCCAAGAGGATATGGGTGTCAGGAGCCAGGCGTCTGCGGCTATTGTTTCCAGGAACAGTTTCCAGTGGAGAGAGGGGTCCATCTCAGCGTGTGGTGAGGAGGTCACGTGAGGGTGAGGGATCTTCTGTGGCCAGAAGCTGGTAGTTCCTGAGTAAAAGCTGGTTGAAAGCTTGATTAGAGATTTTTCCGACTTGGGATTTGATGAACTTTATTATACAGGGTAAGAAGAGACAGGCGAGAAGAATGATTATTATGGGGCCTGCAATGGGCCAGAGCCAGGTGAGGAGGGGGTTTGTTAGTATTGACGAGAATGGGTTGGAATTGGAAGCAGAGTGGAGACTGGAGGCAAGGTCGGTGAGTTTGGTAATGTCAGTTTCTACAATGCCGGATTCGTTGATGTAATAGCAGCACTCTTCCCAGAGGAAGACGCAGGTGCCGCCCTTCTCGGCTGTAAGCAGATCTAGGGCCCGCCGGTTTTGAAGGGTGACTTTAGCTAGCGAAGTGACCTGTCTTTGGAGAGAGGCTAGAGAATCGGCAGTGGATGTCAGGGCTCCCTCAAGTTTGGCGTTGAGATCTCTAACTGCCCATAGAGAGTGACCCAAGGCTTCTCCCGAAAACCCTGCCCCAATGGCTGAGGTGATCAAAGAGCTACTGACCATGATGGGAAGGAAAGCAGCTCTTTTTGTGCGCGAGGGCAAGGGAGGTTGGAGCTCAAGAAATTCTGCCATGCTGTAAAGTGTTAACTGTGGGATTAGGGTGACGAGAATGCAGGGTGTATCGGAGTTGAGAGGCAGTGAGTTGAAAAGACTGCTATTACACTAAAAGAAGTGTCCCGGTTGCGTAAAAGTCTTAGAGCCGGAGGTAGGGGTGTAGATAGAGAGGCAGTGAAGTGCGCTGGAGGGGGGTGGAGTTGGGCTTACACAGTGGTGGATGGTGAGATTATCTGCGTATTCTGGTTCCCATAGGGGTATGTCTGCCAGGGGGCAGAGGGGTTGTCTTTCTGCATGGAAGGAGTAGTTGGAAATATTAAGGGGCACGGCGGCCAGCAGTGGGCGCTGTAGTGATGCGCACAAGAAACAATTGGCTGTGTTAAGGGTGTGGTTGAGAAAGATGGTGGTGTCCTGAATGAGCTGTAATGAAGAGTAGGAGAAATGGGAAGAGGGGTGGGGATAAGAAGATGAAGAGGCGCTATCAAGAGTTTGGATAATGACTTTTTCGGAATGTCTGCTATCTGATGCAACTTGAGAGATCTGGGAATGAGAGGGAACATACTTTCGAGAGATATGAAGGGTACTGTGGGGGGTCGAGGACCCCCCGTAGTAAACTGAGGCTGTGACTCTGGCGGCCCATCGAGAGTCCCAGGGATCTGGGATTGATAAGGAGAATGAGCCGTTGGGATATTTCATGAAACGGTTGGAGGAGTAATACTGTGGGTACTGGAAGTTACCCATGTAGTGAATGGTGCAAGACCAGTAGGGACATCTCCCGTAGGTGTCTTGCCATCGCCTGCAATAGGCTTGTCTTTGGTCATAGAGGAAGCAGAGGTAGGGAGAATAAGGGTAGCTGCTAGTGAACACTTCAGTGGAGGGAGGAAAGTGGAGGTATAAAGGCTCAGAGCAGCTTTTCAGAGGGCAGTCTGGTGTGGCAATGAGGGCAGTAACTTTTGTTTGATGCTGTGTGTAAGTCTGTCTGACTTTGAATCGCCATACAAAGGAGGCTGGGGTGGTGGGGAAGACAATAGGAATGAGGAAAAAAAGCGAGAGAGCAGTAAAGGAGGAAAAAGTCATGATTCGGGTATGGATGGCAAAGGGGGTGAACGGGATTTTGGAGGAAAGAGGACAGTAAGGTCAGGAGTCTGGAGGGAGGGAGAGTCTGTAAACTTTTGTAGGTTAAGAGATCTTTTAGGTGATGTGGGGACAGAATGGTAAGGGGCGCCCTGAATGTCAGTTTATGAGCTTCTTTCTGCAAGAGCTGTCTAGCGGCTAATGCTCGTAGGCAGGGGGCCCATCCCTGAACTGTGGGGTCTAATTGCTTGGAGAGATAAGCTACTGGGGCAAAGGATGGGCCATAATATTGGCCTAGGACTCCTAGAGCTTGACTGGACCTCTCATGAATGTATAATGAGAAGGGCTTCGACAAATCAGGAAGATGGAGAGCTGGGGCTTCTACAAGGGCTTGACGGAGCTTAATGAAGGAGTGTCGGGGTGAGGAGGATAATGGTTTTTTAGGGGGGCTCTTGCTGAGGTTGTATAGGGGTCTTGCCAACAGGGTGCAGGGAGAAGTTAGGGATCTACGTTCTAAAATATCTAGCTAGGCTTAGAAAGGGCCTAGAAAGGAAAGGATTTTTGTCTTGGTTTTGGGAATGGGCAGGTCAGAGAGGAGCCATTTTCTGTCTAAGGTAATGGACTTTCTTTGTTGAGATAGAAGGAATCTGAGGTAAGTGATAGGAGGGGAAGAGATTTGAGCTTTGACGGGGGATACTCGGTAACTTCTGGAAGCTAGAAGGTTAAGTAGGGAGGCAGTGTCAAGTTGAGACTGTTCCCACGAGAGACTGCAGAGTAGAAGATTGTCTATGTATTATAAGGTGGACTTGGAGTGATCATGATGAAACTGTTTGAGGTCCTGAGCTAGGACCTGTCTAAAAATATGGGGACTATCTCGGAAGCTTTGTGGCAAAACTGACCAAGTGAGTTGTTTAGAATGTCTTGTGTATGGGTCCGTCCAGGTGAAGATGAAAAAATCTTGGGAGCAGGGGTCTAGAGGGATAGAAAAATGGGTCTTTGAGATCTAGGACTGAGAAGTGGGATGCTGAGGCTGTATGGATTTGGAACTAAGGGATGGATAGGGACAATGGCTATGTTGATGAGGCGAAGGTCTTGGACAAGGCGGCAAGATCCGTTGGTTTTTTTAACAGCTAATATGGGGGTATTAAATGGGGAGTGAGTGGGTCTGCTTGAATGATGGGTTGGAGGCCTATGAGGGCTGAAGTGGTTAGGGGGTATTGGGCCTGACAGATATACTGAGAGGGGTCACGTAATTTGATAGAGGCAGGGGGACATAGGGCCATGGAGGGGCTTGTAATGTCCCAAACTTTGGGATTTACAGGGTGTATGAGGGCAGAACCGGAGCTTTCATTGGGTAGAGGGGGGTCGTCGGCTATGAGGGCCATCAGAAAGGGAGTACTGGGGGCTGTGGGAGTGGATATAGTTATGGAAACGTGGAGGAGGGAAAGGATGTCTCGTCCTAGTAAAGGGATGGGACACTGGGGCATAACCAGGAAGGAGTGGGAGAAAGGTATGGGATTGTCTTGGATTGTGCATAAAAGGGTGGGTGGGGGGTTTAATGGGAAAATCTGTTTACCTCCTACTCTGACTATAGGAGTAATGGCTGGCGTGGTAGGGCCCCGGTATTCTCACAAGACTGAGAAGGTGGCTCCTGTATCTAGGAGGAAGGAGATGGGGTGACCGTCTACTGTTAAAGTAACCCTGGGCTCCTGTTTGGTGATGGAAATGGTCGGGCGAGAAGCCCCCGGGCCCCATCAATCTTCTTCTGCCAGCCCCACTACGGCGGGCTTAGGATGGGGGTTGTTCGTCCAGCCTCCCCTTCGGGTGGTTGGGCAATCAGACCCCCAGTGGCCCTTTTTGTGGCATCTGGGGCATGGGGTGGTAGGAGATCTGGGGGAGGGGCACGCCCTTGACCAATGTCCCTCTTTTCTGCACTTGAAACAAGCTCTTGGGGGGGCTTGTTTGTAGAGGGGCGCCCAGGTTGTGGTTTTATCAGCTGGGCCAACATCTGGAAATTGGCCTGATCAGCCTTTTGTTTACGGCATTCTTTCTCCTCCTCCCGCTTATGGAAGACTTTAAAGGCCACTGTTAGGATCTCAGTCTGTGGGGTAGCGGGGCCCTGTTCTAACTTTTTGAGTTTAGCTTTAATGTCGGGGTAGCCTTGAGCTAGGAAGTATGTCATAAGGACATGTCTTCCTTCAGGTGTTTCTGGGTCCAGGCTGGTATACTGTAATAGGGCTTGAGTGAGTCTGTCTAAGAACTCGGAGGGGATTTCATCTCTCTTTTGAATTATGTCTTGGAGCTTTTGAAAATTGACTACTTTACAAGCTGCCCTTTTTCAGACCTGCTATTAAGCAGGAGGCAAAAATATCTCGAGAGCGGAGACTCATGGCGGTGTTATAATTTCAGTGTGGGTCTTGTTCGGGGACAGCAGTGGGGCCAGGGGGATAGGTGGGGTCAGTCCTGTGGGTTTCAGTAGCCTGCATTTGGGCGAAGTCCTAAACTCGTCTACGCTCTTCAGGGAGGAGAGTATTGGCCAGGAGCATGAAAATGTCATGATGTGTGAGGCTGTAAGACTGGAGGGTCTATTGAAACTCCCTGATGTATGTCATGGGATCAGTGGAAAAGGAACTTAGGCGTTTCTCTAGTTGGGCTAAATCTCTTAAGGAGAAAGGGATGTGAACGCGCACGCTGCCTTCGGATCCTGCTACCTCCCGGAGGGGGGCGATAATTTTGGGAGGCTCTCGGGACTGAGTCTGAGGGGGACTGAAGGGTTCTGGCTCAGTCTGTGGGGGAGTGACGCGGTCTAGCCGTGCCTAGTCGAGCAGGTCCTGAAGTGCAGAAGGGGGGCAAAGAAAATAAAGAAAGATAGAATCGGACCCACATGTCGCCAGCTAGCAGCCCAGCTGCTTGCCTCTGCTGCTTTAGTTGGGCTTGAACTCATGACTCTGAGGTTAAGAGTCCCATGCTCTACTGAGCTACAGCAGGGCTCCAGTTAATTGCTTATGGAATGCGTTGTTTTCTATTCCTGCCACATCGGCAAGTGGGGGAAGGGCATAGCTAGAAGCAGGGGCGGTGTTTCTACACATCTTCAAGGTCTCCCTATTTTCAGAGTGAGGAGTCTTGGCAAGATATGTTTTTGTGGACAGATAACTTCTAAGGACTGCACCGGTTGTTCTCTAGCTTGTGCTTTCCCATGCTGCGTTCAGACATGGGGGAAGGTGCTTTCCCATTCTCTCTACAAACATGTGAGAAGACAAAGGCGGTCCCTAACAGGGGAGAAACAGGTGATGAGGGCAAAGACGGAGGAGGCCCCTGGGACCTAGTTAAAGGGGGGCTGAAAGGCTCAGGCTTAATCTGCAGGGAATGAAGGTGGAGGAGGTGAGATGGGGGAGGAGATGGTTGGGGAGGAAGGGAGAAGGGCTGTTGTAGGAGAAGAAGGGGAAGGGAGTGAACGGGAGGCTTCTGCGGGGGCGGCGGCTTGCAGGCTAGGAGAACTTGGGAGGGGGCGGGGAGAGGAGGAGGCGGAAAGCTTCGATATAGGGAATCTCCTTCCATTTTTTCAGGCGCTGGCAGTAGTTAAAAAGATCGCGAGTGATGTTAGGATCAAGAGTTCCCCCTGCGGGCCATTGGTTGTTATTGTCTAGGGGGTATGTCGGCCAATCTTGGGAGCAATATTTACGGAGAAGTTTTGGTTTTATATCAGGCGTCAGGGAGAGGGTAGCCAGATGCTTAAGCAGGCATTCAAGAGGTGAACTTTCAGGGAGGGATGAGGAGGCTCCCATGGCTAAAGGACAGAGAAGGAGACAAACAGGGGAAGACGAACGGAGATCCTCGGACTGGAAGCAGACCACAAGGAGACAAAGGGCGTCCCCGATGATCCTTGGTGGTCTGCGGAAACTCGTATACGAGTCGGAATTTCTTGGGAAGTGTGGGTCGTCACCCAGACTTCCCTAAGAAGGCAGAGTGCCGGAGTCACGAGGTACCTAGCGCTAGGCGTTTTCGGCGGACGGAGCAGAAGGAGGAGGGGGGGAAAAGGGAGCGTTCTCATCCACAAAGGAGTCACCTCGTTTATGGCTGTTGGAGGGGGGTGCCTGAGAGTCGGCCGCAGCCGTGAAGGCCTGAGGCGGGGATTTATGACTGTCGGAGGAGGGGCCTGAGCGTCCGCCGCAGCCGTAAAGGCTTGAGGCGGGGATTTATGGCTGTTTGGGGAGGGGCCTGAGGGTCCGCCGCAGCCGTGAAGGCCTGAGGCGGGGAGAGTTCCCTCCTCATCCCCGAGCGTCAGGGCCTTGCCGGACGATCACGGTCAATGGCACTGCGATAGCTCGGGGAAGAGTGGCCCACTCCGGGGGGAAAACTTACCTAAAGGCCAGAGAGGAGTGGTGAGTGTGATGAGCCAGCGCCGGAAAAAGAGGACGAGGGCAAGCTGCTGCTGGTGTCGGGGGAAGACGGGGCCCAGTTGGGGTGTCCCGTCTCCCGGGTTTCGGCACCAATGAAAGGAAAGGAGCGACACATAGCAGCAATTCACCGGAGAGTTTCGCTTTATTAGGGAAAGGTGCTGGGTTATATAGGAGGGGGCATGAATTGATTGAGGTGTCACTTCTACGGGGCTGGTGGCTGTTGGCTAGGTGCTAGGATTGGGAGGGGGGCGAGAGGTGATTGGGCTTCAGGTGGCGCCGGCGGGAACTGAGGACCCCGAAGGGAAGCCGGAAGTTTGCCATCTTACTGGTGGGGACCCTTCACTAAGTTTATCAGATTTGCTAATATGAAAAGGTCCTAACGAGTAATAGATCCAAGAAAAAGTTCCTTCCCCTTTCTTTTGCTTTTTGGAAATAGTTTATTAGTTTATTCTGCCTGACAAATGATCACGTTGAATTTTATACATATTTTACTCTTTATGAAAAAATTTCTTTGTCAATTTCTTACTAACCCTTGTTTCTCATTCTTCTATAAATATGGTTCTACTTGTTGGGTACTCGGTAAATACTGTTGACAGTTAATTTTCCTTTCCTGTTTTTATTCTCACTGGTTTTTGCAAATTGATATCTTTTATGTGTCTGAATACCCATGCTCTAGTAGTGTTTTATTTAGAATATATTGAGTCACTTCTGACTCTCTACTTCCCCTTTCTTCTCCATAAAAGATGCACTATCTTTTATAACTCAGTACTGAATTTTACTCTTGTTGGATCATTGTCATGTCATAGATGGAATATTTCTTTAGATATTTTATAATAAACATTGAAAAAGAGTAGACAGTGAAGTAGAACAAAGGGACCTTAGTGTAAAGAGTCCTTTGCATGTTTGTGATTGGTGGAGGGAAAAGATGGTGTAGTAGAAAGAAAATAGGCTTGGAATCATATCTGAGTTCAAATTTTTGGTCTGATGACTTGTTAGATGTGTTATTTTAGGCAGTTGACTTAATCTCGTTAGCCTGTCTTCTTACCTATATAATGTAGAGAATGCATGTAAAGGGCCTGCCTAGCACATTTTAGTCACTCACTAAATGTTACCTTCTGTAGAACTTTAATCACCATTTTTAATCCACAAAATCAGAACCTTCTTGTTTGTCTATACTTCTCACTTCCAAAAATGGTCTGTAAAGTTATGTTTAACTAGCACTTTTTTATTAGGCAGTTGAGTTAAACAAGTAATAAAACATGACCAGTTATACATCAATATTATACTTACATTTCTCCTTACCTTTTTCTTTTTACAAGTTGCATGATATCTCAGAATCGGAATTTCTAACTGAGGCTGAGATTATCTGTGATGTCGTGTGCCTGGTGTATGATGTCAGTAACCCCAAATCCTTTGAATACTGTGCCAGGATTTTTAAGGTTCGTTGCTTTTTTGGTCTATAAGTATAACTTGATACAAAGTTTATGGAATTGCAATTTTCTAACCAGGGAAACGCAAGAAAATCATTTGTGGAGCTTTTTAAAAAACATACATCTGTGTCCTATCCCTAAAGGTTCTGGTTTCATTCTGAGGTGGTAGAGTCCCAGACATCAGATGTTCAAAAACATTTTTTTCACGTGTGACTGATGGACGTTCCTGGTTCAGAACCTGTGCATTGATGGAAGGTCTTCTTGGCTGTTAGGAATGCATGTGGATTGTATATTGTCAGTTACACCAAGAATAATAATAGTCAGAGCAAGGGGGAAAACCAGAAGCTTGAAAATTTAAGTCACTTTGAGATTATCAAAAGATTGAATAGAAGTAAAAAAACTATATGTACAAAGCAATTTACTCTAGTATCACTAGAATAACCTGGAAATAATCCAAATGTCTTAACAAAAGGAGGGTGGTTTACTAAATTAAGGTCAAGTAATCCAGTAGAGTATTACGCAGCCACTAGAAATAATGCTTTTGAATTCTGAAAATGGAAGATTCGGTATTATGTTCTTAAATGGTATTCCAGTGTGATTGCAGCTGTATAAACATATATATAAATGCATATGTTTAAGGACTAGAGGTAATATGAAAAAAAGGAAACAGTGAGATTTAGGATAGAGGTTTCCTTTTGTTCCAAAATTTTGTCTTTTTAACAGAAAAATTTGTTTTCAAATTGTAGTGAATCTGAAGAATAGTTCCAGGTTTGTATTGTTAACAGCATTAGAAAAGTGGTGCTTGTCTTATGTTAAGACTGATTGGACCACTATCAATCTTTGCCCCTTAGTTCACTTTCTCTTTTAAACAATCAATGCTTTGCCTATCCACAGAAAATTTTGAGTGCACATTTAATTAAGTTTAGTAAATTTTGAACTCATCATTAGTTTTTATTTTATTTTTTAATTCATAGCAACACTTCATGGACAGCAGAATACCTTGCTTAATCGTAGCTGCAAAGTCAGACCTGCATGAAATTAAACAAGAATATAGTATTTCACCAACTGATTTCTGCAGGAAACACAAAATGCCTCCACCACAAGCCTTCACTTGCAATACTGCTGATGCACCAAGTAAAGATGTCTTTGTTAAATTGACAACAATGGCCATGTACCCGTAAGTACTTGCTCTGCCATCTTCGTGTTGCATGGTTCATGATAGCATTGCATGCCATTATTAGCCGTGAAGGTGGAATCTGTCACGTAGAAGTAGTTCAGCAACAGAAAGAGACTTTGCAGTGAGAAGGTTACAAATTTAATAGGTATAAATGCAGGTTTGGTTTGTGTGCCATAATAAAATTATACAAACAGTGGTTTCTGACAATATTTGAATAGTTTTGAGCTGGCTGTGACTATTTTAATAAGATAGTACGATGAAACTCAGCTCCGCACCTAGCATTAAAAAAGTAGTCCAGTAAAATGGGGTTGGCATCATGTTGCTTTACATTTACAAGTGAACATAAAGTTCACTTTTATATTTTTCTGTTGATTAATTTATCTGAGTATGTAAAGGATTCTAAAATTTTATTAATTTATGTTTAAATTATGGGTATGTTTGAGTTCAGGATATAATGTTTTTTTTTTAAGTGCTATAAAAAGTAGTTGTAATTGGAATTCCCACTCTCTTAGTGTTTCACATTAAGTGTTAAGAGTCACAAAGTTTATGTACATTTATTGTATATCTATACATGCATATGCACAAGCACATAACTGGTCATCTTTGTAGTTCACTAACTGCCTTAAAATTGCATGGTTCTTAATGGCGTTCTCAAGTACTGTGTTTGCATAAATTCTGTGTTTGTAACAAGATAGTTTTTCAGGCAGTGCGTTTCTCAGGACTTTATAGGTTATTCTATTTATTATTATGTTAGTCTCAATTATTTTTCTTCTTATGAACACTAAGTATAAAATAGAGTAATAATCAAACATTGCTGTAAACTGGCCGAGGGTTTTCAGAAAAGTGTTAATTTGTATAGATTTCTCACATTAGAGTTAACTTCACTGCTATTAAACTTACTAATAATTTTTAAAAGTGCAGCAAACGCTTGGAATTCTATTTATATTGGAAAACTGGTCATTCCTATTACTATAAAATAAGCAAAACCTTACTTTTGTTTTACCTTTGCTTTAAAACTCTCATGTATGTTATCTACAGAGAGGATCATTACAGAGACAGACTCTCCCGAGACTTGGGCAACACTGGTAGAATAGAGAATATGAGAAAAATCTGGGTCTTTCTAAAAACTGCTTTGTAACTTACTTTTTCTTTATGGCCTCTGTGGGATTTTGTTGACATTTTCTTGTAGATGACCAAATCTCCTCTTTTGCCATAATTAACACTTAGTAATAATCCAGAAACGCACTGCTTGGTCAGGCTTACTGCCTAACTGTATATTGGATGTTTCTTTTTACTATGTAAATGCACTATTTTAATCTTATAAATTCCTGTAACTGTGTGGAGATCTGCATCTTTACAACATTTTACTGCAATGCATATGTGTGTATATATGTGTGTGTATATGATAAATGTACATACACGGACACTTATTTATATGATCAATTCCAAACTACTTCTCATGAAGCATCTCCCTGTTGCTAAGCATACTTTGCATCCCTCCTTTTTGGTGGGTGGAGCCTATGTATATTGAGTCAAGATTCAGTTTATAAAATAGCAGATGGATTCCAGTATGACAGCTGGCAGTGACTTAGTAGCAATGATAATATTCATCATCGCAAGTCAAGTTCTAAAAAGGGATGTCTTGAGCCTGTAAGAATATTTTTTAAAAGTGAATTCTTGTTTTTCTTCATGTTGGGCATTAGGCATTATTGGGATGCTGCTAATCTCCACAGCATTGCCACCGCAGGCTGCGGCCTCATCAGATCCCACAAGCTAAGCCAAGTCAGATCGGGCCGATTCTGTGATCGAGAGGCCTCTAAAAATGTTCAGGTGTTACAGGAAGTGATGGCATTGATTCATCAGGTGGCGCTCTTTTGAGTGGATTCTGAGCCAGTGCCTCTTCAAGGGTGGTGTGATGGCTTTGTATGTCTGAGTGGCTCTGGCCACTGAGCAGTCATTGAGGACACCCTACTTTGGTTGTTAGGGCAGAGGTGAAATGGGCTGTCCCATGGGCTGGTACCAGCTAGTCCAACTCCACTCAACCAGAAAGGAGTCAGAAAGCCTCCCTAAATTTCATAGCTAGTATCAATTGGATTCATTGTTGATATTTACATCCTTACCCAGAATTTCATACTGTCATACTTAGCTGCTGTGTTTTAGTAGCAGATGCAATTAACCCTATATTTTGTTCAAGTGGGAATTTATGAAGCACTTTGATTTCCTTTGGGAGCCAGGGTGCTTGATGAATTAAAGACGATGTTGTTCATATCTCCTCAGGGTTGAATATACTCGTCTTCTGACTCTTGTGTGTATCTGTTGCTCTTTTCCTTCCTGGTTTTCAGGCATGTGTGTATGCTGAGGGAGGAGGAGGAGGGAATGACTACTTAAATGCTAGCAAATTTTGTCCTTTTGGTGGGTGCTATGGCTTACTCAGTTTTCCTTTTTATTAATTTAGATGAGGGTGTCATCTATTGCTGTGCATATTTATTCCACTAAAACTCTTTGATAATAATTCCATCCCCCCTCCAAAATAAGCAAAAGTGTTAGCCAACTTTCCGTAGATTTTCTGTAGGGAGGGAGCAGGGAGCTATTGCTGTTTATTATATTTTTGGTAAACGTGGAATTCTGCACAACTTTAGCATGCCCCACACTGTCCTTTTCCTTAGTGTTGCTTATGCCTAAATCTTTTTTTTTTTAAGTCGGCGCACCCTGACTTGTGCCATATCTGTAAGTAAGAACTCAACTCCTGTCCTTCTGTGTGTTTTCGCAGCCATGCCCGGTTACGCTGTATGTGCACCTGCAACAGGTGTACATTTTGCATCTGTCAGAACTTCCTCAACTCAGACTTGCTGCAATCTGTAAAGAACAAAATCTTCACTGCAGTTCTGAACAGGTTCTTAACTTTATTTACTGGGTACCAGGCATTCTGTTAAAATACAAAAGAAAAAAGTGGATGACTACTACACAGATACTCATAAAGACAGCAAACCCAACTGATGCCCAACTAACTTCCACTAAAATTCTCACTGTGGTGACAATGTTAGTTTTGGAATCATCCTTAATAATGCTTTTGAATTAATAGATATATTTAGGGGACTATAAAAAGGGATTTTGGAATTTTTTTTCAGCAACGAAGTTAAAGGATCTTTCATACTAGAGGATGTATAAGGAGATTAAAATCTTTTGGTTGAGTGTTGTAGAAACAGAGTAGGACTTTTGTAGTAAGGAAAAAAACGTGTTGATCTCAAATGTTATCCTGTATTTTAGTAAATTTTGAACTCATCATTAGTTTTTATTTTATTTTTTAATTCATAGCAACACTTCATGGACAGCAGAATACCTTGCTTAATCGTAGCTGCAAAGTCAGACCTGCATGAAATTAAACAAGAATATAGTATTTCACCAACTGATTTCTGCAGGAAACACAAAATGCCTCCACCACAAGCCTTCACTTGCAATACTGCTGATGCACCAAGTAAAGATGTCTTTGTTAAATTGACAACAATGGCCATGTACCCGTAAGTACTTGCTCTGCCATCTTCGTGTTGCATGGTTCATGATAGCATTGCATGCCATTATTAGCCGTGAAGGTGGAATCTGTCACGTAGAAGTAGTTCAGCAACAGAAAGAGACTTTGCAGTGAGAAGGTTACAAATTTAATAGGTATAAATGCAGGTTTGGTTTGTGTGCCATAATAAAATTATACAAACAGTGGTTTCTGACAATATTTGAATAGTTTTGAGCTGGCTGTGACTATTTTAATAAGATAGTACGATGAAACTCAGCTCCGCACCTAGCATTAAAAAAGTAGTCCAGTAAAATGGGGTTGGCATCATGTTGCTTTACATTTACAAGTGAACATAAAGTTCACTTTTATATTTTTCTGTTGATTAATTTATCTGAGTATGTAAAGGATTCTAAAATTTTATTAATTTATGTTTAAATTATGGGTATGTTTGAGTTCAGGATATAATGTTTTTTTTTTAAGTGCTATAAAAAGTAGTTGTAATTGGAATTCCCACTCTCTTAGTGTTTCACATTAAGTGTTAAGAGTCACAAAGTTTATGTACATTTATTGTATATCTATACATGCATATGCACAAGCACATAACTGGTCATCTTTGTAGTTCACTAACTGCCTTAAAATTGCATGGTTCTTAATGGCGTTCTCAAGTACTGTGTTTGCATAAATTCTGTGTTTGTAACAAGATAGTTTTTCAGGCAGTGCGTTTCTCAGGACTTTATAGGTTATTCTATTTATTATTATGTTAGTCTCAATTATTTTTCTTCTTATGAACACTAAGTATAAAATAGAGTAATAATCAAACATTGCTGTAAACTGGCCGAGGGTTTTCAGAAAAGTGTTAATTTGTATAGATTTCTCACATTAGAGTTAACTTCACTGCTATTAAACTTACTAATAATTTTTAAAAGTGCAGCAAACGCTTGGAATTCTATTTATATTGGAAAACTGGTCATTCCTATTACTATAAAATAAGCAAAACCTTACTTTTGTTTTACCTTTGCTTTAAAACTCTCATGTATGTTATCTACAGAGAGGATCATTACAGAGACAGACTCTCCCGAGACTTGGGCAACACTGGTAGAATAGAGAATATGAGAAAAATCTGGGTCTTTCTAAAAACTGCTTTGTAACTTACTTTTTCTTTATGGCCTCTGTGGGATTTTGTTGACATTTTCTTGTAGATGACCAAATCTCCTCTTTTGCCATAATTAACACTTAGTAATAATCCAGAAACGCACTGCTTGGTCAGGCTTACTGCCTAACTGTATATTGGATGTTTCTTTTTACTATGTAAATGCACTATTTTAATCTTATAAATTCCTGTAACTGTGTGGAGATCTGCATCTTTACAACATTTTACTGCAATGCATATGTGTGTATATATGTGTGTGTATATGATAAATGTACATACACGGACACTTATTTATATGATCAATTCCAAACTACTTCTCATGAAGCATCTCCCTGTTGCTAAGCATACTTTGCATCCCTCCTTTTTGGTGGGTGGAGCCTATGTATATTGAGTCAAGATTCAGTTTATAAAATAGCAGATGGATTCCAGTATGACAGCTGGCAGTGACTTAGTAGCAATGATAATATTCATCATCGCAAGTCAAGTTCTAAAAAGGGATGTCTTGAGCCTGTAAGAATATTTTTTAAAAGTGAATTCTTGTTTTTCTTCATGTTGGGCATTAGGCATTATTGGGATGCTGCTAATCTCCACAGCATTGCCACCGCAGGCTGCGGCCTCATCAGATCCCACAAGCTAAGCCAAGTCAGATCGGGCCGATTCTGTGATCGAGAGGCCTCTAAAAATGTTCAGGTGTTACAGGAAGTGATGGCATTGATTCATCAGGTGGCGCTCTTTTGAGTGGATTCTGAGCCAGTGCCTCTTCAAGGGTGGTGTGATGGCTTTGTATGTCTGAGTGGCTCTGGCCACTGAGCAGTCATTGAGGACACCCTACTTTGGTTGTTAGGGCAGAGGTGAAATGGGCTGTCCCATGGGCTGGTACCAGCTAGTCCAACTCCACTCAACCAGAAAGGAGTCAGAAAGCCTCCCTAAATTTCATAGCTAGTATCAATTGGATTCATTGTTGATATTTACATCCTTACCCAGAATTTCATACTGTCATACTTAGCTGCTGTGTTTTAGTAGCAGATGCAATTAACCCTATATTTTGTTCAAGTGGGAATTTATGAAGCACTTTGATTTCCTTTGGGAGCCAGGGTGCTTGATGAATTAAAGACGATGTTGTTCATATCTCCTCAGGGTTGAATATACTCGTCTTCTGACTCTTGTGTGTATCTGTTGCTCTTTTCCTTCCTGGTTTTCAGGCATGTGTGTATGCTGAGGGAGGAGGAGGAGGGAATGACTACTTAAATGCTAGCAAATTTTGTCCTTTTGGTGGGTGCTATGGCTTACTCAGTTTTCCTTTTTATTAATTTAGATGAGGGTGTCATCTATTGCTGTGCATATTTATTCCACTAAAACTCTTTGATAATAATTCCATCCCCCCTCCAAAATAAGCAAAAGTGTTAGCCAACTTTCCGTAGATTTTCTGTAGGGAGGGAGCAGGGAGCTATTGCTGTTTATTATATTTTTGGTAAACGTGGAATTCTGCACAACTTTAGCATGCCCCACACTGTCCTTTTCCTTAGTGTTGCTTATGCCTAAATCTTTTTTTTTTTAAGTCGGCGCACCCTGACTTGTGCCATATCTGTAAGTAAGAACTCAACTCCTGTCCTTCTGTGTGTTTTCGCAGCCATGCCCGGTTACGCTGTATGTGCACCTGCAACAGGTGTACATTTTGCATCTGTCAGAACTTCCTCAACTCAGACTTGCTGCAATCTGTAAAGAACAAAATCTTCACTGCAGTTCTGAACAGGTTCTTAACTTTATTTACTGGGTACCAGGCATTCTGTTAAAATACAAAAGAAAAAAGTGGATGACTACTACACAGATACTCATAAAGACAGCAAACCCAACTGATGCCCAACTAACTTCCACTAAAATTCTCACTGTGGTGACAATGTTAGTTTTGGAATCATCCTTAATAATGCTTTTGAATTAATAGATATATTTAGGGGACTATAAAAAAGGATTTTGGAATTTTTTTTCAGCAACGAAGTTAAAGGATCTTTCATACTAGAGGATGTATAAGGAGATTAAAATCTTTTGGTTGAGTGTTGTAGAAACAGAGTAGGACTTTTGTAGTAAGGAAAAAAACGTGTTGATCTCAAATGTTATCCTGTATTTAGCTCACATTCAAATAGTATGATCTACTAAAACCATCCTAATGTGAACATCTTGAGTTTGGAAAAATCCTCTATAAAAAGTACCTGGAATGTTTATTTGAAAGAACATGATTTCTGGAAATGAGCACAATAGCCAACTTTAAAGATTCAAAAGAATATGGAAAGAGAAAAAGACCTGTAGTACTCATTTCTGAGGTCTTTATAATTGAGCCCAAAACATGAAGTATGCCTAGAAAATGATCTGCTTTTAAAAAGAAAGAAAAAATAGTAAGATTTGTACATTCCCTCAAAGCAATGAACTTAGAAGGATGTGTTCTTATTCTGGTCTTGCTACCTTTGCTCAAATTGATTTTACATTCTGTGAGTATTTAAGAGCCTATGTAATAATAATTTGTATTTAATGTTTCATTTTTATGTGTCTGAGGAATTGGATTTTTTTTTATGGATTTTTGAAATCATTCAGATGTTAATTGGGAACTGAGCTTGACTAAGACGGATGATTAAGCTACACAGGTTTTGGTTATAAATGGGTCAGTTACTTGGTTTGCCAGGGAACTCTCACTGAGGACTAGCCTGCGACTGTGGCGAATAAGTGGGATGGTTTGTGTCTACCAACAATTTAGGAAGTGTAGCTATGAAACAGAGACTATATCTTACATGAGTCAGAAACTGACTTTGAAGGAATTCTGTAAGTTTCGGTGATGAGCACTAGCAACCCTGGAATAAGAATGCAGCCATCTAAGGCAACTGCTTTGAACGGATCACCACACTCATCTGGTGTAAAGGTCTGACTGTCCTGTGAATGGCACCTTATGAAGCAGTAACACAGACGGATTCTTTCATGATGACTGTCTGAGAAAAAGCAAGGCTAGTTCAAACCAAACAACACTCAGGAGCTCCAGTGCTGGAAATGGTGGAGTTGGAAGAGAGTCTGGAATCCATCTGGCCTACCCTCCCTTTAGAATGCCTTCCTGAGAGCACGCTGTTTATCTGCTGATGGCTTTCCTTACTGGAGAAAGGGTTTTTTGCTTCTGCCTCTGCTTTTTTTTTTTTTTTTAACTGAAGTGATTTCCCTGTAACTTTCTCTCCTTTAGTTTTAGTTCTGCCCTTTA